TTTTTTTTTTTTTTTTCATAGAGACGATGTCTTCCTTTGCTGCCTAGGCTCTAAACTCCTGGGTCAAGCAATCTTTCTGCCGTGGCCTCACAAAGTGTTGGGATTACAGACCTGAGCCATGGTGCCCAACCTGTCTAATTTTTGGTGTCTAAGCTTCGTACTGCTTCAGATCCAGTTAGAATGTGGGCTCCCTGGGTTCTGAGCACTAAGTGAGGGCTAAGTGGAGGTCCCAGACATGCTGAAAGCCAGAATGCTATGCTTCCCCTCTCCCCCCATAGAAAATTGACCCTGAGGTGGCCGCCTTCCTGCAGAAGCTGCGAAGTAGAGTGCAGATCGGTGTGGTGGGCGGCTCTGACTACTCTAAGATCGCTGAGCAGCTGGGTGACGGGGATGAAGGTAAGAGTGAGACTGGGGGTAGAGGGAGTGGGGAGTTTGAGAGATTCCTGGGCATCTTCAAAGAGCCGGTCCTGCTTCTGTGGGGCAGAAGAAGTAGAGAGAGAGCAGCCAGATAGTTCCCTCACTGATGTGACAAACACTTGAGCACCTCCTATTGCCAGGGATTGTGCCAGGCCCTAGAGAAATAGCTGGGACAAAGCAAGCAAAACCTGCCCTTATGCAGTTTACATTCTCATTTCTGCCTGCTGAGTCTTGATTTCCTCATCTTTAAAATGGGCTGAACTGGCTGGCATGGAGGCTCACGCCTGTAATCCCAGCACTTTGGGAGGCCAAGGCAGGTGGATTACTTGAGATCAGGAGTTCAAGACCAGCGTGCCCAACATGGTGAAACCCCGTCTCTACTAAAAATACAAAAAATAAGCTGGGTATGGTGGCACGTGCCTGCAATCCCAGCTACTCGGGAGGTTGAGGCAGGAGAATCGCTTGAACCTGAGTGGTGGAGGTTGCAGTGAGCCAAGATCAGGCCACTGCACTCCAGCCTGGGTGACAGAATGAGGCTCTGCTTCCAAAAAAAAAAAAAAAAAGGGCAGAACCAATGATGGCTACCATTTGTCAAAAATGATCATGTGTTAATGTTATTCCATTGCATTTAATCCCCACAATCACACTTTAGAGTAGGCGTGATCATCCCATTTAACAGAGGACGACTCTGAAGTTATCCAGAAAATTGATTGGACCTCAGAGCTCCTGGTCTCAGACCAGTCAAAGTGGGTGCTTCCAGTTCCTCAAGCCAGAAACTTCCTCGAATTTTTCCTTTTCCCACCTCTTGTTTATTCCATCAGCAAACCCCAAAATATCTCCCTGTCCCCTCTGTCTCCATCTCCACCATGCCTTCATAGTCTAGGTAACCACGTGCCACCCAGACCCCGCAACAGCCTCTGAGCTGTGCTCCCTGCGCCTCCCACCTCCCACCCACTCCAGCTGCTTCTCCTGGCAGCCAGAGCTGAAACCTCCAACTCTCCCATGCACCCAGCCTTGAGAACCCAGTGCGATGGCAGCTGTAGAGCAGAAGGAAGCTCATCTGCAGAGGGACAGGGGAGCACAGAGTGTAAATGATGCCCTCTGCCAGACAGTGCTGCATGGCTTCCAGAGGAGGAAGCTGGATCTTGGAGGATGAGTGGCAGGGAAGCCAGGGAAGGGCGGTCCTGACAGAAGGACCTGCATGGATGCCTGTGTGCAGAGGCCCACAGGTGTGACTGGCTTCTTTGGAAGAAAACCAAACTGCAGAAGGAGAAAGGCTGGAGAAGCAGGTTGCAGCCTCAGATTGAACAAATGGCCTTTGAATACGAAACCAAGGGTGTGGGCTTCCTGTCTCTTTACTTGCCTATGGGATCACAGACCTGGTGTCACAGTCTTTCTTCCTCCTGTCCTCTATGTGACCCCGAAGTCATTGAGAAGTTTGATTATGTGTTTGCTGAGAACGGGACAGTGCAATATAAGCACGGACGACTGCTCTCCAAGCAGGTCAGTGTCCCCCAGGGCTTAGCCAGGGGCACCCCGCTTTTCCTTAGTGGAGCAGTCCAAGGGTGCCTTCTGTCCGGGGCTGGGGGAGAGACACTGCGCCTGTCTCAGGGTCAGGCAGCCTAGGCCACGCTCAGAGCTCTGTGTTCCTTGGCCAGACCATCCAGAA